GTCGTCCGTACAGTCCCCCTGGCTAGTCCGGCTGCCGGCCATAAGTGCCATCAGATGGCGTGGTTGGGGACGGGCTGACTGGGCGGATCGGAACACGCACTGGGACGGTTGCGGGGAGTGCGAACGTGACCAGCTGACCGGACAACCGCGGTGGAAATGGTATACCCCTGAATCTACAGAGAACACCGGTCTGCAAGAGAGGAGGCCTGGACAGACTCCAGTATCATGGCAGACTACGTGGTTCCGTACATCATGTGCTTTGCGTAACGCGTAGCCAGCCTGCGCCGACCTGGGGCCGCAAAGTAAATCGCTTCCTATTTTCGGAAAGAAAAATAACTGAACTGCTCCTGGCACGTCCAATAGCTTCTCGGCAACCAATCGGCGATGAGCTTCACGTGCCCCGACAATAAATATAACAGTTTAGTCAGACCACGGATGCCATGCTGCCGTTGGAGGGCTGCATGGAGCTGCCACATCTGTAGGCAGCGTTTTAAGCTACAGTCCTTGCTTTGTATTGTTTTAATGTTATTCACTGGCCAACTATACTTGACAACAGCCGCAGTTATCCATGCGATATGAGGTCACATCTGATAACCATCACGCGCGACGTCGATGTTGTCGATGTGTGACTACAGAACCCATATGATTGTTGATAAACTGACCAATGACCTCATGAATTCGAAACCAAGGGTTAACCAAGGATATGTGGAGTTACATGAGACTGCATACCACACATGGATACACACAATAACACACAGATACACATATTCCTATGTTTTACAGCATGGTTTTTAAAAAAAAACCTTTCTACATGTTCAATTTGATTTATCTTATGGGCCATGCCCATTTTCATGGTAATTGCAAGTGAATGCAAATTTAAACATGTCTGGTGCAAAATGACTTGCGGTCAGCACATACTAAAATATCACAATCAATTACTTCAAACTGAGTTCGGAACCAACACCTGCCTGGTTGATGCTTGTGTGACACGGCATTTCTAGCTAATATGCCTGAAAACCAGTCATTTACAGTCAGGCAGTTTACTTTTAACTAAGTACATTTACACTGCCTTACTGAGTGCTACACAGGACAGGTGGTCTCTCATGGCTGCTTACCTTGATGCACACTGGAAAACACACAAAACTTGGAAAATTGGCTTACCCTGCAGATCCGCCGAAGACGAACTTGACATAGTTTGGTATTCCTTCTGGCTTCTTGGAGGCCATTTTTACAAACTTCGTAGACTGAAAGCAGACAAGGTTATGTCAAGGCTATGTCAAGGTTATGTCATGCAATGCTTGATGCAAGTAAGAAAGTCTTGCAGATCCTATCATAATATATGCAATCACAATAACAAAAATGCCGCCTCCGTGGTCTATGCTGCCTCCGTGGTCTTGGGGAAAGATGTTGGACTCGTAATCCAGCGGCACTGGGTACCAGTCCCAGAGTGGGCGCATTGTTTGGCCCGTTGAAATGGAAAGACCAGCTGGCAACTGGCCAACGAGGTTCAACCCAGACCGGAGGCGGCCGTGTCACAGCATTGTGCGGCACGTAAAACCCTCCACAATCCTGTCTGGCGAAAGGGCGGAGGCAAAATTAGCTGTTGAACTGGATGGCACGCTTGGGTGGTGGGTTTGGGGTACACGCAACAAGCTATGCTTAGCAGGTACTCTGAATCCAAAGTCACCCACACAAACCATTTGGGATAATTTTTTTTAAAAATGGTGGTGCAACCCTCATGGTGGCTGTACATGACACACTATGGTGCTCTGGTGAACAGGTAACATATTACAATGTGTATATCGAATCAAAAGGCTTAACATTATGCTAAATGATCACCAAGTAGCTCTCAGTAGGCTTCAGACATGGTAGCAGTGGCAGTCCAGTGGCAGGTTGTTAAGCAGCCAGCCTGCCACTGGAGGTAAGTGGAAGGCCACAAGACCACCTTGGCCTGACCAGTTCAGGATCACTCATATATATATATATATATATATATATATATATATATATATATATATATAACATAGTGAAAGATACTAAGCACCAGGGGTTCCTGGAGTCACCAGAACAGCCATTTTCTGAGAGACCATAATCACATACTGTCCTCAAAAAAACAACTCCTGTGGTCATCTAATATTGCATCAAACATGTCTCTCCACAGGCATTAGTGCCTCCAAGCTTAAGTCCCTCATTATGTCCCTGTTTCAGTAAGAAAATAAAGAATGCTTACAGAGGAACACTAGGGATAAAAATGTCACAGAAGAGGAGGCCCACAATGTCCAGAGGTAACCCCTGCAATGAGAAATTAGCCCATGACTTATGCGAGCAAAATGTCCAAAACTTCAAGAAACCATTGGAGCTTGTGGAATTCCTCTTAAATGTTTTGTGGGTACAAACCACATAAATAACCAATCTTATAACACTTAGAAAGGTTCATAAAACCTATGGGTTTGGTCAATCTTGTTTAACTGAAAAGTTTGTATACAATGCATCACATCAGAAAATGAATCACCTGAACATATTTTGTAGATGAACAGAGAACTCAACCATATTTAAGTACCCATATTTTACTGCTGACATATGGTCATATTATAGGCTTAGATATCTTATCATCTACCACCAGACATTTTATAGTACTTTTGATCAGTGAAAATTACAGGTCATTTTGGTTAACTTAAGAACCACGTGGGTAAAACCTTGGGCATGCCACAGCAATTAAGTGTGATAATATGGCCTATTTTGGTGATGCATCAAGTAAACCTTTGAAAAAAATGGCACATGCATTGTAACTAGAATTTTGGATTACATTCAGGTATCACAGAAATAAATATGCAATCAAGCTGTTTCAGTCATATGCAATTAAACTTCTAGCACATTGACATCTTGATAAACCCTTATGGTGGTAGCACTGGCTGTTAGATCTAGAATTTATTGTAAAAATTCTCCTATTTTCACATTCCTGCAGCAGCTTATGGCAGATTTACATGTGATGATGGCAAGGGACAAAATGACATTTAGATGGGCAAAATGTACAAATATTGTGGGATACATGACCACACACAAACTTTATAGCCATTAAATAACAATTTTTCAACTAAAAAATTCAGCACCTACCCTCATTCTGCATGAAGATCAAACTGGAGGTCACACCAAGGTCACAAATGTGAGTGCACAATTGATGTTACCAGGTATGTTGTGAAACATATTCCGCTATAATTAACCATGGAGAAGGCAACATTAGCTGACATGATCAACTTTTCCATACCGAATATGTGGCACGACATCT